CCAACAGGCCTTACACTGGGACCTCTACATCGCTGTGGCGGGCTTGCTGGCGATCACAGCCGTTTACACGGTTGCGGGTACGTGGCCGAGTTTCAGATCGCGCCGCGGGCCCTGCTCCGCGAGCTGTGTCCACGCGAGGCACCGTGCATCCCCTGGCTCGGGATGGGAGCCCTGCGTGTCCCACACATCCTGGCTTTGCTGTGAGAATGGATAATGGTGGGGAAAAAGCAACTGATAACTTACCCATTAAGAAAAAGTTACAGGTAAGAGTAAACGAACACCTCTTCTAAGGCCGCAGCAGACACGGGTGCGTCTCAGTTCTGCTTTAAGCAGCAGCGATGCTCGAGGCATTGGCACAGCGCGTTTTTCCTCCGGGCTTTTTGGAGCTATGAGCAACCAACACAACAACGAGCCGCGCAATGCGGAAAGCGCTGTCCGTCCCGGGTGCCCTTTCAGGGCTCATGGGCGGCCAAATGGAAGAAAGCCACGCACGGAGCAAGCAGAAAATCCCAAACAAATTAAAGTTGCTCCTTTCCCAGTGCTCACCTCTAGTGATGTTGCATGTAAAGACCCCCCCTCTTTGATTTTCTTCTCCTTCTTCAGCTCAGGCTTTGTTTTGGAGCTTTTCCATGTATTCCCCACAGCAGTACTTATAGTGGATGTTTTAGTGACAAAATGGTGACTTGTTATGATTCAAAACATAAGAAATTCCAGCCGGAGTGCGATGCGCAGGTGCCGGCCAAGCCACTGTTCTCTCCTCTGCTCTCCTAGGTGGCCTGGCAGCCGTCATCTACACAGACGCTCTGCAAACGCTCATCATGCTGGTCGGGGCCGTGACTCTCATGGTCTTCAGTGAGTGTTTCCCTGGGCTTTTATTACTAAAACCGTGACAGAAGCTTTACCCAGTGCTACAGAGAAGCTGGATCGTTACAACTGATTGCTCAGCTGATGTCCTGGGAACTGCTTTCTATACATTTTCCGGGAGCATGTGCTTGTACAAATAACCTTACAGTAGTTCTTTATGTGGTAAACATGCATGAGTGCTCTCTGCAAAACCCCCAAAGAAATGCGTTGTGAAGCAGCGTTCTAGGTGAACAAGCACCTTCTGCAGCCAGCAGTTTTAGTGTTACGCTATCCCCCAGCCCAAGGTTAGAGGCAATAGCTTCTGGTTTTTAGAGAACACTTGTGGAGCATCACCTGCAGCAAACTACAGAGGCTGAAAATCAGATTACCGACCCGGGACAATGTGATAACTGCTTCTTGTGACCTATTCCAGGCTTTATTGAAGTCGGCGGCCTTGAAGGTTTGCAGACAAAATACTTCGATGCCATCCCCAGCACCCGCAAGGAGAACAGCAGCTGCGGCTTGCCAAGAGAAGATGCTTTTCACATTTTCCGAGACCCTGTTAACTCTGACCTTCCCTGGCCGGGAGTTTTGGTGGGAATGACGATCCCGTCCCTGTGGTACTGGTGTACAGATCAGGTGGGTTACTGCTTAGTTCTTTGGTTTCAAGAATGTGTTACTGGTTGCTTGAATCTGATTACAAACCCAGGGTTTGCAGCGTAGCTTGGACTGGTTTTCTATTGCTGATGGGAATTCAGTAAAATCTGATGGTTTCAATCCTGAAGATGCAAAACTTGATATGCACAACTAAATGTTGGGAATAATTTCAATGTAAAAAGGGGTAAGAATGTGTTTGTGAGATAATCCCAGTGTATAAAGATGGTTTTTGTTTTATGTTTGTTGGTTTAACTTAAGCCTTTCAATTCTTATGAACCACCTGTGAATTCACTCTTTCAGCTTTCCAGGGGTCTGACTACCACCCCCTCTTAGTGACTACATCAGGGCCAGCAGGACCCAAGCCCTAAGCAACCTCCTGACGTTCCTGTAGCATCCTTTCCTCTAACTCGTTTTGCTCGTTTCAGACTCTGGCCTGTGTTGGCGGGAGGGCTGCTGACCCGGCCAGGCTTAGCCATTGGGTCCGGGAAGTCCCCAACAAAAGCAGAAGAAAAGAAAATTCTAAGCCCGAGCGTGACTAGCCAAGGCACAGCTTACACAGGACAGCATACTGCAGCAGCAAGACTCAGATTCACTGACACAAGCAGTGCCTTTCAGGTCTACGTCAGGTGCTCAGGGTCTGAAGCAAGAATTATAAAGCTACAGCCAAGCTCTGCATTCACCCTTCTAAAATTTACGTAGTTTCGAGGAGGATAAAGTATACGCATGAATGCAACCGGTATCACATCACCGACAGCTGGCTCCTCGCTGCTGGCAGTAGACCCAACACATTTCTTAATTTCTAGGTCATCGTTCAGAGGTCCCTTGCTGCTAAAAACCTTTCTCACGCTAAAGGAGGCTCCTTGATGACCTCCTACTTGAAAATTTTGCCCCTCTTTATGATGGTAATGCCGGGCATGATCAGTCGGATTCTCTTCCCAGGTAAGTGCTGAAGGAGAGATCGCCTTCTATTTATCATTAATTACTCTTTGCGCCTACTTTATGGAGCTGGAACAGCGCTTACCAAAGAAGTTAAAAGCTTGCAATGCATCAGATGCCCAAAGTACGCAGAAATCCACCTCCTGGGCTACGTGACACCATGCACGCCCTCCCGCAGCAGACCCCTGGCGCATCTCACGACGCGCTGCTCCGAGTGCGTTGGCCGTGATCCCTTCTCACAAGGGCTGTGCCGATCTATTCCGAGCTCGCTGCCCGCGGCTGCTCTGCGTTTTGACCACGCACTTAGGTCCCTCCTGCACCCAACACGTTACTCCTCCTGGAATTTGAGGCCCTCGGAGAAATCCTACCATGCCACCCTGAACGTCGTACACTGCTCACCGGGTGGGAACGCGTGGATGTGCCCGTGCGGGAGGAGCGGTGCCAGAGGCGGGGGGGGCGTCCGGGTCCTCATGGGAGCAACATTCCTAGAGAAGAACCAGCCACGCAGGGCAGGTCAGCTACCTGTGCTGGTAGTATCTCTTGCATGGAAGGAAAAAAGGGAAAACAGGGAAGCTGAGAGCTGCCTTTACCTTGCTGTGTTGGGATAGTCCTGCGTTACTTGCTGGAAGCTCTCCAATATCCAGTACTTCACTTAGAAAGCAGTTTGCAACACCCAGTAGACTCAATTGTTCAGGTACTTTGATTTATTGTGGCTATGGAATACTGCCTCTCGCTCCTCCTTGCTTATTTCAGATCTAGTGGCTTGTGCAGATGCGGAAATTTGCCGAAAAATCTGTGGCAACCCCTCTGGCTGTTCTGATATCGCTTATCCCAAGCTGGTCATCGAACTTCTGCCTGTAGGTAAGGAGCTGGGTAGCGGTGCTGGCGCTGATGGGTACGCAGAAGCCAGAAGGCCTCTGTGAGAAAAGTTCAGGGAGGAAAATACCCTGCAGCTGTAATTTCAGTGGGGTTCACGTTAGGCTTGGTGAGACAGTGGCAAGGGACAGCACGCAACAAGAGAGATGGGTATCCAGCACCCAGGGGTCTCATTCAGTCACATCTGGGTAAGAGATAAAGACGGTTCAACACGGAGAACCAACCACTAACACCTCCCTGTCACTGGCCTTTTAACAGCGGGGCTAACAACATTTTTAAAATGTGTCCCAGTTGAAAGGATAATTAGAGGACATCCTACAGTGGGGTTACTGGGCTTTCCTCAGGGCAGCTGTACTACTTCTGTTTCCAGGACTCAGGGGCCTGATGATGTCAGTGATGATAGCAGCTCTCATGTCCTCCCTGACTTCCATCTTCAATAGCGCCAGCACCATTTTCACCATGGACCTCTGGAAACACTTCCGTCCACGTTGCTCCGAGTGGGAGCTCATGATCGTCGGCAGGTACGGACCACGAGGACACGCACACCACAGCAGAGCCTGAGCACTAGGGACACGTCTCGGGACCCTCACAGCCTGCTGCCCCCGTACAGATGTAGTATCTGCACAATGCAGAGGTGTGGTGGAGGACTAGAGGGGGGCCTTGTGGTTATGAGATCTCCATAGAGTCTTGCAAGCTGAGCAATCGGAAAAGCACAGCCTGAGCTAGCAGTAACGGCACCTTTTTCTTGCCCAGGGTCTTTGTGCTGCTGCTCACCGTGGTCTCCATCCTGTGGATCCCACTGGTGCAGGCTGGCCAGGGAGGGCAGCTCTTCATCTACATCCAGTCCATCAGCTCCTACCTGCAGCCCCCAGTGGCAATGGTGTTTATACTGGGTTGCTTCTGGAAAAGAGCAAACGAAAAGGTAACCCCCCCGCTGTGCTCAGCACCGTCGCCTCTGCGGCCTCGCTGTCCTCACGAGAGTCCTGCAGCTCAAACCCCCGGCCCCGGTCCTGCCACCTCCCAGTGTTCGGGGGAACGCCTGCACCCAGACCCCTGCACGGCCCCAGCAACCGTCACCCACACAGGAGGGAGCGATGCCTGCTGTCGTTCAAAGGCTCTGCTGGCATTTCAGGGGTGAGACGACTGCATTGCTCCATTGCAGGGCGTCCCTCACAAATCTCGGGGCCTGTTAACAGCTCATTAGCCATCAGCTTGTTTATTACATAGCCTCATGGTTTTATCTGCATCAGGGGGGCTACAGAAGCCGCAGTGAGCCCAGGGAGAGAAGGAGACAAACCAAAAGGCGCCAGGGGTCCAAAAGCTCCAGTCCGTCCATGATGACTAGGGCAGGGTAAAGGGCAAAGTCTTCCCAAACCAGGCTTCGGTTAGGTGGAGAACGTTGTCGGCTCCCAGTGTTCAGGCAACCAGCAGGATACAAACATCGCTCTGCGAAGTATTCTGTGTAAGATGTTGCATTTCCGTGATGTTCTACCTCCTGCCCATACTGAAATGAATGACCCCCTTGATCCCGCCAAGGAGAGGTACCAGGCTACTGCAGACCTCGATAGCACGAGCAGAAAGGGGAGGAGAGGGAAGCCCACCAGAAAAACGGCCAGGAGACAGCCTGGCCAGCTTGTAGCCTGAGGACACGGGCACAGCCCCGGATGCTGGGCGGACGCACGCTGCCTGCTCCAACGGAGAATGTCCTTCCTTTCCCAGGGCGCGTTCTGGGGCCTGGTGACCGGGCTGCTGCTGGGCGGCATTCGACTGGTGCTGGACTTCGTCTACCCCGAGCCCTGGTGCGGCGAGGCCGACCCCCGCCCCGGCGTGGTGCGGTACATGCACTACCTCTACTTCTCCATGGTCCTGGCCGCCATCTCCACGCTCACCGTGCTGGTTGTGAGCATGCTCACAGAACCCCCCTCGGAGGAAATGGTGCGTCACCCCTTCAGCTTTCTTTTCTTACTTGTAAATGGTTTCCAGGATGCCCCATGTTACTTCCACGGGAATAATGTGGGGATAAATAATCTGGAAATGGGAGCTTCCATTCATTCTTTATTTATGACCATACTCGCAATAACCTCTAACAGCAGTCCCTCCTCTGCTCCAGCACCCCGCTGCCATTTAAGATTTTGGTCCCATAAATCCAGAGCCCAACCCTAGAAACTGGTCAACAGTAGATGCTACAAGAGCTGTTCTTAAGTTCAAACATGTGTGTTTAATCCGTGACAAATTAGCTTTTTCCCTCTATTTTCCAAGAAATTCCAGCTTCTGGGTCATCTTTATCAACTCTTACTAATTTAGTGAGGAACCCTTTTTACTCGCAGAAAAGAGAAATCAAGGGCAGAGAGCACACTTCCTCTGGAACAGGTTTGTGCCAGTTTGACTATTCTCGATAGATATCCTGAGGTTGCAGAAAAACATTAACAGCAGAAAGGAGGGCCAGAGGGGCCTTCAGATATCATATAGCCAGCGCATCCTCTTGCTTGGAGACAGGACTAACCTGACGTCTTTCTGAAAGACCCGGTGAACTGATCCTCCAAAGGCCCCAGAGAGCGAGCGTGCCCAGGGAGGTGCGCGAGCAAGCCGAGAGCTCGCCTGCCCTTCCCGCAGCAGTTTGTCCTCATCTCCAACCCGAATCTTTCCAGCTTCATGCTGTGCTCATCGCTTCCTGTCCGCCCTATCGCTGATACCGAGAACTTCCCTCTTTTAATGAGTCTTTTACATATTTGAAGAAAATTATCATATCTCCCACCTGTCTCCTCTTCTCTCGACAACCCCAGTTCTTTGAATCATTCCTCCCTGGCCACAGTTTCCATTCTTTTTGCTCCCTTCACTGACCCGCTCTCAGTCTGCGTCCAGCGGTGGTCCCACGTCTCCTCCGCAGTAACAGAGAGAGAAGAACGCCGTCCTTCAGCGAGTGCAGCCGTACAAACAGCCACGGTGCTCCAGATGAAACCAAACCCAACGTGCCGGTGATAGCCATCGCTTCGGTAGTCACCCGCTGAGCCCTTGGCTGTTCCCCTGCTCCAACAGGGTGGGAGAACAGGTTTCGGCCCCTCTAAGTGTTCTCTCTGCAGGCTGCTCTACTGCTGAGGTAGTCCTTTAAACCACCGTGCAAGCAGTTTTCTTTAACACCACTCTTCATGCCATCAGATAAGTCGGCTTACCTGGTTCACACGTGGGGATCTGCCAGTCAAGACAGACCTAGCAGTCAGCCCTTCCCCTGACGCTGCAAAAGGAGTGTGTGAAGCTGAGCGCCCAGCTCTCCAGATTGATATAAGCATTGCTTCTGAAAATAGTTCAAATGATAATAAATGTAAGTGCTCCGACATCGTACCCAGTAACACCCACACTTAACAACCCTAGGCGTTGCGTAAAGCCTTTGAAGACAAGAAACGTTAAAATTCCTCCGGATTTCTGTCACTTCAGGGCATGCCAAAAGGTTTTTACCTGACAGCGTTACCTAAGCAGAAGTTTAGTTTCTTTTCCATCTCTTGATGGCGTTACATGGGCTTGAAATCAGGAAGGAGCTGGATGGGATACAGACAGCCATGCCCACTACCCGGCACTAGAGACTGGTGCTGCTGGCACCCGCTGCGAGGAGGACTGGTTGAGAAAGGGGAGGGTGGAGGAGAACCACAACTATTTTCATGAAATTCCATTTCTGTTTTTCAGTGGTGTTTTCTGACCGACTCTAGCAGCAGGGAGATCCCAGAGCCCTGGGCGGAGTTCTTGACAGATCAGTGAAGGAGGATTTACATTTTTTAAAACTTGTACTTGTCGGTATTAGGTACAAACACGCACAGCAACGCATTCTGCATTTTCCAGCGATGATTATCATCACTTGTTTTTGCCAGGCTCGGGACACTGTTTATGTAGCTCTGCAGCTTTTGCTGCGTATTCCTTTGATCTATAAACAGCTGCTGAAAAGCTCAGGAAGCTGATGAATGACTGTGCAGCTCTCCCCGCTGCTGGGAAGTCTCACGCTCGTCGTGCACAAGCGCTGCCTTCCCAGCAGTACGCCGTGCGTGCCCTGACCCGCGCCAGGGCTGGGGAAATCCCATTTACACGCGTGGCGTGGAGTAACCCCAAAGGGACCAGAGCATGCACTTGCAAGAGGAAGCTGCCGGGCACCGAGCAGCTACCGCTGAGCTTTTAGGTCTGGTCTACTGTTACCGTTTATGAAGTGTTGGGAACAGCAGAACTTGAGCTCAGACCTCCAGGGAGGAATGAAATCGGTACTACAGGCCCCCAAAGATGCTACCCGCAGGGCTTCCTACACCTCCGCGTAGCTAGCGTACTCCTTTAAAGACCACTGGTGCTTTTTGGCATCAAACCCCTTTGCACAGGACCACACTGACACGGGACGTGCTTTGTGGGTGGGATTCGCTCCTCACTACTGACTGTCTTTTTAGGTACGGCTAACGCCCAGGGGAACTCGAAGGTGATGAGCACCTTTCTGTGGCTCTGCGGGATGGAGCGCAAACAGGAAAACGCCGAGAACGCGTCACCGGCTAAACCCGAGCCGCTGCCCGTGGCTTCCCTGGAGGAAAAGCCGCTGGTGAAACACGTCCTGAACATCAACTTGCTACTATGCGTATGCGCCGGGCTCTTCCTCTGGGCCTACTTCGCATAGCAGTCGGCTATTCGATTCCAGATGACATCAACTAATTCTAATTGGTGTAAATAATTCTAATTAACAGAGGGTTAATGTAATTCATAGTGCTTTCTAAATTCTATTTCTTTATTTAAGAAGACAGACCCTCCTCCCTAAGCCTTTCCTTATTTCTCGTTGGGGCCTGGCTGTGAAAGGTGCTGAGCGCGGGGCACCAGCAGACCCGAGCTGCCAACAAGCAGAGCTCAGGCAGGCACCAGGCAGAAGAGGTGCGTTTGCTTATTTGAAATATTTAATCATGCTCTTCGTGGTTAGAGCACTGCCTGGAAATCAGGCAGCCTGGATTCTCCTCCTACCAACACCTCTGTACCCAGCTACAAGCGCTTGTTTCCCCCTCAGCCCAGCTCCTCCACCCCGGGGGCTGCGTGCCCGGAGCAGACCAGCCCTGCGCTCCATCGGAGCAGCGCACCGTGCCGCGTGGGCGCAGCCCTG